AATAACATGTTGAGTACGTTATTATATAGTTTTAATATATACAATAACATGTTGAGTACGTTATTATATAGTTTTAATATATACATTAACATAATGAGTACGTTATTATACTAAAACTATTTTGGAACCTCATCACATCGTTCCATGTTCTATCTAACAACCGTGCATCTTGACAATACTCCTGAAACGTGGTTTCAATTGCAAAAAATTCCTTCATAAGGCTGTCACACTCCAGCCTATTAAGGTATATGACGATTGAACAGATACGTCGTGGAAACTACTTGTATACATGTGACTTGTGTCCCCTTTCCAGACGGAGCTCCTGGGGCACGTGGACGGATTTTGCCACAAACCTTTGTCTTGGTGGATTTTCACCTGTTACAGAGCTCTGCACTTTGCTTAACACAGCTGAAGTACGACTTGTTGCAGGTCTCTTTCTAGATGGTCCAGATATCCAAGTTGAACCTTTTTCCCGATCTGAAACACACCTTTATGATCTGCGTGTATGAATAGTTTGATTCAGAAGAGCTGTTACATACTCTCCGTAAAAGCGACCAGTTTTAAGCAGCATCACACCAAAACACAGTTTTCATACATGCCGCCCCATTGCGACTTTAAATCGGCTGCGGTTGTCACTAACTTGCTGATTTGCGTATTCAAAGTCGTTTTGATATAACGTACTCAACCCTTTGTACATTCATCACCTATTTTTTCTGTGTTTGTACTTTTCAAACCGTACCGTTTAGAGCAAAATCAAATGTCTTAAGCCTAAGCTACTTCAAATTAAGTAAACTGTTGACTTTCTATGTCTAACTTAAAACAAAGATGACAGATTGTTTTACATCAAAATTTGGACACAAAAGATGTCGATATTTTCCATATAGTAATAAAAAGCTTTATTCTCTATATCACCACCAATGATGATAGTGTTAACACAGTTCAACATATCTCGTGGTGAGGTGCAACTAGTAACAGTATTGAAATAAAAATATAAACGGTGTTTTTTTAAGCTCTTAGGATTGGGCAGTTAACAAATTTTCAAACACAAGTTACATATTATTTTGTGTGCATGTTTTATGTTGTAAAAATCAACTGTATTGTGATAAGAATTAACTTCACCTCCTTGTGTGAATAATTTCGTAAAGAGAGACAGGTGAAGTATACGTGTGAATTAATGTAGTAACACAGATCTGTAGGTGAAGTATACGTGTGAATTAATATAGTAACACAGATCTGTAGGTGAAGTATACGTGTGAATTAATTTAGTAACAGAGATCTGTTGGTGAAGTATACGTGTGAATTAATGTAGTAATAGAGAGATCTGAAAGTGAAGTACACGTGTGAATTAATGTAGTAACAGAGTGATCGGAAAGTGAAGTATACGTATGAATTAATGTAGTAACAGAAAGATCGGAAAGTGAAGTATACGTGTGAATTAATGTAGTAACAAAGAGATCTGTAGGTGAAGTAGATTCGTGTTAAGGTTTGAAATTTATTTAGTTCGGTATAGGTCTGTAATGATATTAGTGTAAATTTGGTAGTACGATCAATAAATATGTTTTGATAAAAAATAAACAGAAGTTCCAAATATTTTATTGGACACTTTACATTCAGCACCGTCTGCTGGTGAAACTACAAGTCTAATCAATATTCACATGTTCATTTATATTTCCATAAGGTCTTTTATAGGTTATTAGGTTTGTTTCTAGTGCGACATATCTACTAATAGCGTCTATGTTTAATTCAGACTTGCTCAGTTCAATTAACCTTTTTTTTTGTATAGTTGTATACCACTTCAGTTTGATTTATTCTATATTTAGCACAAAGCTATTTGAGGGCTATCTGCGCTAGCCGTCTCTAATTTAGCAGTGTTTCTCAAATTGGGAGCCGCGGCCCCTCTGGGGGCCGTAAAGCCTTTTCTGGGGGACCGCCAAAAAAATGGGCCGAAAAACAAAGATGCTGAAATAATTTTGATTCTAAATTATACAATAAGCCGATAAAAATTATGTTGAATTAATTAAATGATACAGTATGCTGAAATGGTATATTATTATTTTTACTAAGGCACTGTGTTTCAATCACCATGCTAAAGTTAGGGGTTGGGGCCTCAAACTTTTTTATTCATATCAAGGGACCCTCAGACTAAAAGAGTTTGGGAAGCACTGTACTAGAAGGAAAGCAGTTAGTCAACACCACCCAACTCTTGAGCTATTATTTTACCAACGAATTGTGGGATTAACCATCACATTATAATGCTCTCACGGCTAAAAGGGAGAGCATGTTCGGCGACGGAGATTCGAATCCTCGACCCGCAGATTTCCTAGCCACCAGTCCATGCCAGGGGCCACTACTTCGGTGTTGTGGTCTTGATGAATACTTTCGTTATCATAAGACGTACAATGAAGTCATCTGATGAAGACAAGCAGATTTTTAATAACAGCTATTAGAGTACTGTTCGTTTAATGCACTAAAAGCATTTACGCTTGATTGTTTGTTTTTACTATAAAAACATTCAACAAGTATTCAGCCTTATCTATAATAATAAGTGTTTCATTATTCGGTTAAGAATCAAAAGAGCACAAAACATTGTTTTTGATTTGATGTGTCCAGTCTTAACGTCACAGGACAGAATGTTTCACGATAAAATGTCACAGTGGCGCCATCTATGAGAAACTTGATAAGTATGTATTATATAGTGTAACGTTATCTGTTTTGTGTTTATTATATATTATATGACCTAATATTATCTGTTTTATGTTCATTATATATTATCTGACCCAATATTATCTGTTTTATGTTTATCATACATTATATATTGTAATTTTTTCTGTTTATTATATAATATATAGTGTAATGTTATCTGTTTTGTGTTTATTATGTATTACATAGTTTAATATATTTGGGAAACACTTGACAAACAGATCTGTTTAAAATGTCATAACTCACCCAGTTAGTTGATGATTATTAATACAATTGTGTTGTTGTTTATTATTAAACACAAAGCTACACAAAGGATTATCGAACCCCGGTTTCTAGCAGTATAAGTCCGCAGACATTCCGCTGTGCCACTGGAGGGCAATATAATTGTGACATTGTTTCCCGGATTGCATATTGTGACATTCTGACATATAAACATGACTGCATGGGTACTCTTACACATTCACTTGTTTTCAGGATTTTTCAGAATCTCAAATCTCATGGTTATATATGAAAAAATACAGTGAAAAATGTTCGATTTGTACTTGTAGGGTAATTGTTATATAAATAAATACTTACTGGGCAATTGGAATTATTTCTCTCTTTCTCTCTCTCTCTATATATATATTTATAAGACTAAAAGTTTATATAATTATTTGTTTTATTCTAATCACTGAAAACAAGATTTGCATGCTTTTTGATCTGATTTAATACTGCAGATACGTAGAGAATATGAGCTGAGATGTTACAATGGATAAATAGGCGCGCACGTTTTAGGTTTTTTTCTTTACAATTAATTTTTGTTTTTCCATTTAGTACACTCCTGTATCTCATAATTCATTGGTTGAAATATAATTATGTTTCGTGTTGTTTTTATAATTTGAAGATTTACTTAAATTACCTGGAGACACCTAAGTAAAGTCCTTTATAATGGTAACATAAAAATTAATAAACAGAG